GTGTGTGTGTGTGTGTGTGTGTGTGTCAGATGGTCTCACATGCTGAGTGTGTTGGACATAAACCAACATTTCCATGAGAGAAGAAACAAGCTGTTCCTAAAATAACAACAAAAAAAGAACTTAGATTTTGGTGTTATTTTATTTGATCAGAATGTTTCCAAAGAATGATTTACTGCTGAAATTATGAATGTATAAATCCTTCAAGAGCCTGGATAAATGCCAAATATATTAGCGTAATTTTCAAAGGTTTTCAGTTTTAATTGAGAAAACTTATTAGATGAGATTTTGTTTTGGAAAAACCTAAATATCTGCTGTTTTTGATTAGCTTGTTAAAAACAAATGTTAACCACAATATGATACTTTTCAAAAAAGTCTCAAAAATCAGACTTGTTTTAATGAGCTAAAATTTGCTGGTCTTTATTTTTAATGTGGCAGTTTTATTAACAGGACAGCACATTGACTCATTTGGTAGAGCTGATGTCTCTCTCGCAAGAAGGTTGCTGGAACAAATCCCAGCCTGGGGACTTTTCTAGGTAGAGTTTTTACGTTCTGTCCAAGCAAATGTGAGGTTTCTCTGGTTACTCTGGTTTCCTACCACACACCAAAAACATAAATTTTAGGTTAATTAATACTGTAAACTGTAAATTGTCCCCAAGTGAGAGTTGAATGGTTGTTTGTCTCTGTGTGGCCCTGTGATGGACTTGTGACCTGTCCAGGGTCCAGGATTCTACAGTCAGACATTGTTCTGGGACTTGACCCCCTACAGTCTGCCATTATACTGAGTCTTGACCTGCAGTCTGACATTATTCTGGGTCTTGACTCCCTACATTCTGACTTTCTGGGTCTTGCCCTCCTACAGCCTGACATTATTCTGGGTCTTGACCCCCTACAGTCTGACATTGTTCTGGGTCTTGACCCCCTACAGTCTGATATTGTTCTGGGTCTCTACCTCCTACAGTCTGACATTGTTCTGGGTCTCTACCTCCTATATCCTGACATTGTTTTGGGTCTTGACCCCTTTATTTCTGACATTGTTTGTTTTCCTGTGTGGCTCCTCCCCCAGTTTACCCACCAGGACACCGATGGGTCTTGGAGAAGAGACAATGTCTCCTTCTTGGTTTGGAGGTGATGGACCAGACTTACAGCCACCTGGGGTGGCCTGTGTGGCCGAGTCCGGCGTGTCTCCTCCAGGAGACAGGGGCGGGAGCCTTTAGTTCGGCCTCTAGCTGCCTTCCCTCCGGTGGTCACTCCCTTCGTGAACCCCGGCCTCTGGATCAGCGCAGTAGCTCAGGACGCCTCCAACAGCCGGTCACCACAGTTAATGGTTGCCGCTCCCTCTTAGGTCTGCACTTCTTACCATGACCGAGATAATGTTCAGTGACCTGGACAGCAGGTCTCAAGGGAACTGTTAAGGGAGTTATCCTATCTCCCCAGGCTAATAACTGTTAAAAATGAACTTATTGTTAAGATATGACCTCTTATCATTACCTCTTGGCTTCAAAGTAAACACACTCATTAATATGTTAACACCTTGTTGCTTTGAAGTAACAACATACTCGTGTAATCAGAGAAAATCTTTAAAAACCAATGTCCAGTCATGGAAATGTCTTTATGATGCTGTAAGCAATTTAATAGAAATTAGCAAGAAAAGCCACATTTGATTGTACGGATTAAAATATTGAATAATAATTGATGGTGATAAAAATAAAAAGATCTAAGGCGCTGACCTAACCTTGTGACTAGGCTGTGTGGCATTTTCTGTCAATTTGGATGGCAAGGAATTTGGAGTCGAGTTGTTTTTACCTCCATGAAAAGCAGCAGACTGTTGCCAGAGAGAACTTCTCAACGCTGGGTTGTTTAATCTGGTCCTTGGCCTGTAGGTTGCTGGAGAGCAGTGGGGCAGCTTATCCCAGCTGAGATGTCTCTTGGATCTGGTGATCCTCTTCTTAGGCTGTCCTTGCCTTTGCTGCGTGTTCTCCAGACGGGGCCAGAAGATGACTTACTGCTGAAACTGCTCCCTTTTTATACTGTTTTTGGGCCATCTCACCCCCTTCCTGCCATCCTGTGATAGGCTGGGGTTTTCCACCACTGGACTTTTTGTGTAYTTTCCAGAGTGAAGTAATTTTGCCGATTCTTGTAATAGGACTTTCACGGACTTTCCGTGGTGAGGTAAACCGCCTTGTTTCCACCACAGGACCTCTGGAACTTTCCAGACAAAAACCCACTTCTCCTTTTTCTATTGTTCTTCTGTTTTGCAGAAGTACAGTCTGTCCTTTTTACCATCCAAATGTAGCACACACACACCCTTTCATTTTAAGACATACAATAGCACTTTTCTTAAATCACCATCTTACATTAAAGCACATTATCACAGTTCATTAGTTAAATCACACTTTGCAATAAGCATATAATCATCACACTTGTTATTTGTTATTTGTCAGCATTAAAATCAATCAAAATTAATACTTATTACTCCTTCACTTTCTTCTTCCTGCTTTTCTCTTTTCTCGGGCTCATTCTTGCATCTCGGTCTGTCTTATGGCCTCTCTTTCTGTCACGTCCTCCTCTCTGTTGGGGGTCAAAGGGAGGCTCTGCCGGCCTGTTTCCAAACCTTGGGATGGTTGGCACAGCCAGGTTTCTTGACAGTTTTGGAAGCAGAAAATATTTTGGCAGTTTGTTCATTGGTTTAGAGAATTAGTAGCACTTACTTTATGTTTCTTTATAAATCTTTCTGAAACAATGTCACCTTTTGGTTGAACAGCAGTATTACAATAGTTACCTGACAAATTGAGTTACAAAGTTGCAAAAATAGAAATGTGGGTAAATAGTAATATTACCTGACCATAAAGATAGTCGAGTGAACAGACATTCCCTTCCTGAATCAACAACCATATTTTTTAAATCTGTCAAATCTTTGGATAAAAAAAGGACAGGCTATTTTTATGCACAAAGTTGTCATAGTTTTCTGCCTCCTGCTGGCCAAAATTGAGTTTTGTTAAACCAGTCTGTCTTTTTGATTTTACACAGTTATAGTTAAAATACTTCTGTTTTGATTGGGGCTGGGAGTAAATATGGGTGCAGTAGGCCTCTGTTTCTTTGTTAGACCAGACAGGTGAACATTTTTCAGGATTGGGTTTCTAATTTGATTTCAAGTAATAATTCTACATGAATACTTCAGACTAAGCTTAAAGCAGGGAGGGGGGTTTGTTAAATTGGACAAAATTTAAAACTTAAGTGGTGTATACATGTTGTATGTATTCACTTCTTGTGCTTTATTTTAATTTAGCCGATTTTGTTGACCACAGAAATTATTGACAATCCAGGGTCCAAACTAGGAAGTAGAGTTGTAGTCTTACACATCTCTGTGTCGTTTTTAGAAAGATGTTTGGCCCACATGCACAACACTCTCAGGAGACGAGGAAAGTTCAAAAAGTTTATTTACAAATTAAAAAAAACAAATAAATTGAGAATATCCTTCTGGGGCTGGAGACCCAGGGGAAGGGAATCACTGAAGGCAGAGGAGAATATGATGAGCAACACAAAAATACTGATGGAATGATGACCTCTCTTACTTGAGTTGTGAGGGAGCGTCTACTAGTGGGGGGTGGTTGAGTGAAGGACAAGTCAGTGCAGTGCAGCCAGATAGTTGGAGCGATGGAGGGCNGGAAGTCCTTACCGGCAAACTTGGCCTTGTCTCCAAGCTCCTCCTCAATCCTCATCAGCTGGTTGTATTTAGCAAGACGCTCCGACCTGCATGGAGCTCCAGTCTTGATCTGCCCAGTGCAGAGTCCAACCACCAGGTCAGAGATGAAGRTGTCCTCAGTCTCTCCAGAACGATGACTGACCATCACGCCCCAACCACTGCTCTGAGCCAGTTTACACGCCTGGATGGACTCGGTGACGGAGCCGATCTGGTTGACTTTGAGCAGCAGACAGTTGCAGGCCTTCTTCTCCACGGCCTGCTGAATCCTCTTTGGATTGGTCACAGTCAAGTTGTCTCCTACGATCTGGATGTCAACAGAACTGGTAAACTTGGCCCACTGCTCCCAGTCATCCTGGTCAAATGGGTCCTCGATGGACTGGACGGGGTAGCCCTTAATGAAGCTGCGGTACAGGTCTCCCAGCTGCTCTCCAGAGATGTGTCTGGCTGGGTCGTCAGGGGACTTGAAGTCCAGGTCATACTTTCCACTGCGGAAGAACTCGGAGGCGGCRACATCCATGCCAATAATGATCTTGTCCGGGTAGCTGGCCTTCTCGATGGCGGTCTTCAGCAGCTCTAGAGCTTCGTTGTTCTCCAGGATGTTAGGGGCAAAGCCACCCTCATCTCCCACATTGGTGGCATCCTTGCCGTACTTGGCCTTTATGACGTTCTTCAGGTTGTGATAGACCTCGGCTCCGATCCTCATGGCCTCGTGGAAGTTAGCAGCTCCAACAGGAAGGATCATGAACTCCTGCATGGCCAGCTTGTTTCCAGCATGACTTCCACCATTGATCACGTTGAAGGCAGGAACAGGAAGTATGACGTCCTTGTGTCCAGCAAGGTCGGCAATGTGACGGTAGAGAGGAACCCCCTTCTCTGCAGCTCCAGCCTTACAGACGGCCAGGGACACGCCCAGGATGGCATTAGCTCCGAACTTAGATTTGTTTTCAGTGCCATCCAACTCCAGCATGAACTTGTCAATCTTTTCCTGCTCAACAACGCTGAATTTGTTCTCGATCAGCTTCGGGGCGATCTCCTTGTTGACGTGCTCCACAGCCTTCACGGTTCCTTTGCCCAGGTAACGGCTCTTGTCTCCGTCACGGAGTTCCAGTGCCTCATGGACTCCTGTGGATGCTCCACTGGGGACAGCAGCTCTGAAGAGACCTTTGGCTGTCCACAGGTCCACCTCCACTGTGGGGTTTCCTCTGGAGTCCAGAATCTCACGAGCATGGATCTTGGTGATTGACATCCTGACTGAGAGGTCCTGATCCGAGAGCCTGGGGGAGTCGTCTGACCGTCTGACTGACGAGGAGAGTCTTTGTCCTTCTGTCTGCAAGCTTTTTATAGACACAGGAGGAGCAGGAGGAGCAGGAGGAGGAGGAGGAGGAGGAGGAGGAGGAGGAGGGAGCGTCTGAATGTGACTGGACCTGAAGAAACGCAATAACACTGAGACCAGACCAGAACCGGTCACACACACACCCTTTCATTTTAAGACATACAATAGCACTTTTCTTAAATCACCATCTTACATTAAAGCACATTATCACAGTTCATTAGTTAAAT